TGGCAGCTGTTCAGGAAAACAAAAAAAAAGTCCACAAAATAGTTTTGAGAGACTGTAAAGTGAAGTTGCGTGACATAGCTGACACCTTAAAGATATCAAAAGGTAGTGTGATTACAATTTTACACAAAATTTTGAGCATGCATAAGTTGCTTTTGAAGTGGGTGCCGCGTTTGCTCATACCGGACCAAAAACAATGTGTCAACGATTCAGTGCGCTCTTTGGAGCTGTGCAAGTGAGATAAAGAGGATTTCTTGCGTTGGTATGTGACAATGGATGAAACATGGATCCATTACTACACACCTGAATCAAAAAGATCATCAGCTGAGTGGACAGCAACCAGTGAAAGTCACCCAAAGTGACCAAATACTCAACAGTCAGCTGGCAAGGTTATGGCATCCGTATTTTGGGATGCGCATGGTATTTTGTTCATTGACTATCTTGAGAAAGGTAAAACTATCAATATCAAGTATTACATGGCACTATTGGATCGATTGAGTGTAGAAATCAAGAAAAATGCCCTCACATGCAAAAGAAAAAAGTGCTGTTCCACCAAGACAATGTCCCATGTCACAAGTCGATGAAAACTATGGTTAAATTGAATGAATTACGCTTCAAATTGCTTCCTCACCGACCGTACTCTCCAGATCTGGCCCTCATTGACTACTGGCTTTTTNTTTTAGATATATTTTAATTAAAAATTTAATCTTTACATATATAAATTTAAAAAAAAATACCTTTTTCTTTAAATATCTTTAACAAATTGTCATCTAAAACATCAAGCTTTGAAAAAATGTATTTAAGCTATTCATTAATGATCTCTTGCAATTATGAAGTGAAAACATTCTACATCAGTATTATTCAAATTGGTTAATTGCAATTCATACTTCTAGATAACAATATAATTTCTAATATGTTAAAAATATGTGTGGAAATATTATCTCAAATCTTTCATATCAAAACAATTTTTGGTAATAGTTTTAAGTAATCAAATTAACTATAATAATTGAAATAACTAACTAATCCATCTTTAATTTTCTAGTCTTTTTTCTTGTCTTTCAGACAAGTGCTTTCAATCCTTAGTTATTTATGGTATGGTTTTTGTAAATAAATTTATATTTGGAGACTTAAAATCAGAAATGAAGTATATCTATATTTATAATCATTATTTTATTACTTTTATGTACATCATTTACAAGTTACATACACATTTGTAACATTTNCACCAGACTTGACTCCATTAATTTTATGGGACACGTGAAAACCTCATTGTATGTAACCAAACCTCAATCATTAGAACACTTGAAAGCTAAATAACTAATGTGATTTCAGGCACTATTGTAAATCAATTGGCAAATGTTTTTAGAGAACTACAAAATCGTATTACCCTTTGTATTACTAATGATAGTGGACATATGGAAACTTAATAAAATACAATAAAACAAAAAAATATAGATTTTTCTTATTTCCAATACATTCTACATAATTTCTCTATCATAAATACTAATAGTTATAAATTTTTCAAATTGTACATGGACTTTATGCACACCCTGTATATATTTTATTTATAAAATAGGTATAAAGGTAAATGTGTATATCTTTTTTATAATACTAGTTACATTTAAGAAACAAAAGTATCATTCAAAATATTTACAGAAATTATTCATTAAGTTAATTCTACAAATTCTATTTAATACTTTCACAACTGACTAGACTAATGTAAGTAAAGTACTATATTTTTGTGCATATAATCTGTGAGTTATGTATTTAAAAGACAGTTTGAAACAGTTTGGATTACAAAAGTTCAGATTTTTAAATTGAAGTTATGAACTTGCACGTATGGAGCAGTGGTTGCTCCCACAGACACAAGATATGGAATGCAAAGGTTTTATTTTCATTCTAAAAATTCTCTGCAGATTACACACGTGAAAATATGGTATTTTATTTTGAATGTTAGGAACTGTCTAAAAATCTTACTTAAAGGGAAAATATTGAATAATCATGACTCATGCTTTCTCAGAACACTCATATTTTAAAACATCTTATCGGTGTTTTAAAATTTTTAACATGTCTTTTCTCTATTATTATGACAAATCTCCTCCTTTTTTTATACCTACCTATTGTGTATATGTAAACTGTACAGAATTCAACTGTTTAATTGTTTAAACATTTAAATAGTATATATTGATTTCTTTTAGAAATATTTTAATTAAAAATTTAATCTTTACATATATAAATTTAAAAAAAAATACCTTTTTCTTTAAATATCTTTAACAAATTGTCATCTAAAACATCAAGCTTTGAAAAAATGTATTTAAGCTATTCATTAATGATCTCTTGCAATTATGAAGTGAAAACATTCTACATCAGTATTATTCAAATTGGTTAATTGCAATTCATACTTCTAGATAANCACTTAGATTTTAAAAAATTGTACAAATAAATACTTAACATATATATAAATTATATATATGTGTAATAATTGTATAAATAATTATATATATAAATTATACAGGTATCCATAAAGTCTGTGTGCAATTTTAAAAATTTATAACTTTTTACAGATTTTTTTTTCTATCACAATTACTAATAAAGTATTAGAAAGCTTAATGTACTGTACTGTACTGTACCTAGTTTTAAGTAAAATTAGGATTGGAAGAGGTTTACCATTTTCTTGGCCTCCACATTCACCAGACTTGACTCCATTAATTTTATGGGACACGTGAAAACCTCATTGTATGTAACCAAACCTCAATCATTAGAACACTTGAAAGCTAAATAACTAATGTGATTTCAGGCACTATTGTAAATCAATTGGCAAATGTTTTTAGAGAACTACAAAATCGTATTACCCTTTGTATTACTAATGATAGTGGACATATGGAAACTTAATAAAATACAATAAAACAAAAAAATATAGATTTTTCTTATTTCCAATACATTCTACATAATTTCTCTATCATAAATACTAATAGTTATAAATTTTTCAAATTGTACATGGACTTTATGCACACCCTGTATATATTTTATTTATAAAATAGGTATAAAGGTAAATGTGTATATCTTTTTTATAATACTAGTTACATTTAAGAAACAAAAGTATCATTCAAAATATTTACAGAAATTATTCATTAAGTTAATTCTACAAATTCTATTTAATACTTTCACAACTGACTAGACTAATGTAAGTAAAGTACTATATTTTTGTGCATATAATCTGTGAGTTATGTATTTAAAAGACAGTTTGAAACAGTTTGGATTACAAAAGTTCAGATTTTTAAATTGCAGTTATGAACTTGCACGTATGGAGCAGTGGTCGCTCCCACAGATACAAGATATGGAATATATGGAATGCAAAGGTTTTATTTTCATTCTAAAAATTCTCTGCAGATTATACATGTGAAAATATAGTATTTTATTTTGAATGTTAGGAACTGTCTAAAAATCTTACTTAAAGGGAAAATATTGAATAATCATGACTCATGCTTTCTCAGAACACTCATATTTTAAAACATCCTATCAGTGTTTTAAAATTTTTAACATGTCTTTTCTCTAATATTATGACAAATCTCCTTTTTTATACCTACTTATTGTGTATATGTAAATTGTACAGAATTCAACTGTTTAATTGTATAAACATTTAAATAGTATATATTGATTTCTTTTAGAAATATTTTTATTAAAAGTTTCATCTTTACATAAATAAATTAAAAAAAAAAAACCTTTTGCTTTAAATATCTTTTAACAAATTGTCATCTAAAACATCAAGCTTTGAAAAATGTATTTAAGCTATTCATTAATGATCTCTTGCAATTATGAAGTGAAGACATTGTACATCAGTATTATTCAAATTGGTTAATTGCAATTCATACTTCTAGATAACAATATAATTTCTAATATGTTAAAAATATGTGTGGAAATATTATCTCAAATCTTTCATATCAAAACAATTTTTGGTAATAGTTTTAAGTAATCAAATTAACTATAATAATTGAAATAACTAACTAATCCATCTTTAATTTTCTAGTCTTTTTTCTTGTCTTTCAGACAAGTGCTTTCAATCCTTAGTTATTTATGGTATGGTTTTTGTAAATATAAATTTTTATATTTGGAGACTTAAAATCAGAAATGAAGTATATCTATATTTATAATCATTATTTTATTACTTTTATGTACATCATTTACAAGTTACATACACATTTGTAACATTTATTTGATGTTTTATACCTACATTAAATAAATTTTGGCATAGAATCAAACATTGTCAAAGATTAAATTCTACTTTAAAAGTTTTACATATATAAAATTTATTAGTATTTTGATTATCCTATTAAATGCAAACAAACTTACAAGGTTTTTCTCATTATGGATACTTTTTATGTTTCCTAATTTAAATATTGCAATTTGATATAGTAGCACCAAACTTTCTAAACAACAGTACTTATTAAATTAATAACAAATATCCATGTCCACAAACATAAGACTTGCTATTTAGCAAGCAACAAGCAAAGCTTAAAAACTTTAATACCAGATGATTATTAAAATAAAACAGTTATAATTGAAAATTTTGAATTTTTGTGAAAATAACAATTACTTTACATTTTTTTTCTGAAGAATATTGTTCTAAAGGTTAGTTCTAATAAGTAAATTTTATCTATATTTATGAATGCGTTATTCTTACAAATTCTGAATATAAACTTTATATTTAAAAAATTTTTTATATATAGTGTTTTCTAAAGTATCAGAAAATATATAATAATATTGATAATAATACTGTAAAGTTGGAAAGAGTAATATTTTAAATTTTGATAGCTTTAACTTAAATATTTTGATAGCTAAAACTAATTAACACTTATGGTTTAAACAGTGAAATTTGCATTGTTTATCCAAAAAACAGTTTTTACCTCTCTATCTGTGTCTTTCAGATCTACTTGATTAAGCAATCTAGTGTGGCTATAAATCCTTGTGTGTATCCTGGATTAATTGTTAAACATTTTTGATAGGTCTTCAGCATGAACACCAGAGAGTACATAATAGGAAAAAGATTGAGTGTTTTTCTCCAAGAGAATTAGATGATCATGAACCAATTGAATGTGAAGAAAATTTAGAAATTCTCTATCTTACAACAAATGAAGACATTAAGAACAGTCATCAGGAATTTATGACTTATGTATCAACATGAAAAAGGAAATCCAGAACAACTCAGGAAAAAAAATCAATTTTTCAGAGAATCCAATTAGCAAGCATAAGGACTTTGCAACCACATTAATCCTTTATTTTTATAAATGTGATACTATTTATGGAATCTCAACTTTAAAAAATTGTAGCTATTAATTACATATAAGCTATTGTCATATTCATGTGTAATGTTTTACTATAATAACTTAAAAATAAAACAAATGTTTTGGTTCTTTTAGTATTGTTTTTATAGTTAAAATTATTAGTAATCAAACATTTAAAAATTCTTTGGTCATATGTTTTTTTTTTAGATAAGTGATATAATTTATTAAATATAATTATTACAATTTTGATGTGCTGTTAATAAAAATCAAACTTAAGATTTTGATAAAAATATTTTATTTTTTTTGTTTAATAATAATAATAATGGCCTGATTGACATTATAAACCTTCACTACAAACAAATACAGTCACTGTGACAGTTTTTCTACAAGAAACATCACAGTTACAAAAAGCAGTAACTCTAGCAGACTCAAATAACACACCATTAAACTTAGTCACATCATACAGACATGACACAACATATAAAAAGCACAGACACCATTAAGCAATCGTGGGCTTGAAAAGCACTCCATGGCAGGCATCCTTATGACCTGGCCCAGGATATTGTTGACAAAATTGCATAAAACAGCTGGTTAGATCGGGGATGCCTTTTTGGAGAGACAGAAGGATTCATGATTGCCATACAGAATCAGGTCATAAATACTAAAAACTACAGAAAACACATACTCAAAGATACAACACTCACAATGCAGAAAACGTCACATCATGACACATGCAGAAAATGTCACATTATGCCAGAAACTATACTGCACATTACATCTAAATGCAAGCTCTTGGCACAGACAGATTATTTCTACAGATATAATCAAGTAGCAAATATAATACACCAAGAGCTTGCAAAGAAACACAAATTGGTAGACATTCACGAACCATACTACAAGTATATTCCACAAACGGTATTGGAAAACAACACGCACAAAATGTACTACGACAGAGCCATAATCACAGATAAAACAATTTACCACAACAGACCAGACATCACACTCATTGACAAACA